TGTAACCAAATTTATAAGGGTTGTTACTAAAAATAGATTTTTTGTCTGGAAGGTTGATTTTCCTAGTACAAACCCCATATATGTTTCTTGGTAATTAACAATTAACAATGTCATTTCGAGCCTGATCAAGAGAAAATTTGAGAAGTATAAGGCTTTCAACAATAATAACTTAATTTTTTTGCATCGGCTGTTCAAAAACTCTTGTGTGTAAAGTTTTCTATGTAAAGTTCTCTTTTTTACTATGAAACGTATGACATTTTTTAATTTAGTATTAGGAGTGGAGACAGTTTTGGAATTGGAAGATCTGCAAATATCTATGTGTAACATTGAGTTGTCCCCCCATATATTTACTTACCCCTAGATATTAATATATATATTATTTTTTATTTTTTATTTTTTTTGTCGATCTTTTAATATGAAATTTCCCCCGTATTTTTATAATAAATTGATCGGCATTTCTCTGATTCATAAATCATCAATTAAATTTTGGTTATAATTTGTGGAATTCATGAAGACTAAGTCACGTCACAAAACGTGTCAGCTATCAGTTTCGTCAAATCTATTTTCTGGTTGTCGATTCCTGGATCAAATTCTTGTCTACTGTTCGTACCACTACATCGAACCATTATGTATCATTTCCCGATATTCTGTGCCTTTATAATAAATCTATCTAGTCCACCAATTCTTATCCTACAGTAATAAAAATAATATCGAATGTGACACTTCCACTTGATGTTAATGGTTGTAGATTTTTAAACTTTTTATTTAAAAGAAACTCTTTTTTATAATTCATTGTATACATAGTGTAATGTTTGTCGAACGAGCATCCAAAAATAGGTATTGATTTAATGTTTAATTCGTTATTGTTATTCTACTATACAGTCTGTTAAGCCATTTATAGAATTTATTTTAAATTTTTTTCTAGCGAATAATAATTTGGATTAATATTTTTCAATATTATTTAAATAAAAATACGAGTGCTGGACAGGACAATAATAATATAGACAATATTAATATAAAAATGGAAGAACAAATAGCTACAACAAAAAATACAAAAAATACAGATAATATAATTATTAATGATGCTCAAACTTCTGCTCTTTCTCCATCCACTTCCATGATTGATAACATATTGAAACGAAGTTCTATATCAACAATAGCTGGCGAAGTTGAGGATGGAAACCATAAAAAATCAATAAAAAGTAATGACGACAAATGCAATCATGATAACAATAACAACAATAATGATCATTCATCATCAGATGTTGAACCTTCACAACAAACTTTTCCTTTCACCCCTCACCTACTTTATCATTTATTTGATCCAAAAAACTTGAGGTTACTAAAAATTTTTGGTGGAACTGATGGTATAATAAAAGGTTTACACACAAATATTGAAACTGGTCTAAGTAATGATGAAATAGCTCCTCTAGACCCTATACCACTAGATACAATATCAGAAATCACAAATAATGATGACGCTGAATACTTGGAGAGATTTAAATCTGAAAAGTCTACTGCCACTCCTATAATAATAACTGGTCAACAACCCACTCATTTTTATCAAAGAAAAATGGCTTTTGGTACTAATGTCTTGCCCCCCAAAAAAACAAAATCTATATTTATGTTAATGTGGATGGCCATGCAAGAAAAAATTTTGGTCCTGTTGGCTATTGCTGCAATCATTTCATTAGGTCTTGGTTTATACGAGGATCTCCGTCCAAATGCTGATCCAGATATGCCAAAAGTAAGTTGGGTGGAGGGTGTTGCTATAATTGTTGCTATCATGATAGTTGTCTTGGTCGGAAGTATAAATGATTGGCAGAAAGAACGTCAATTCCAGAAATTAAATGCTAAAAAAGAAGATCGTTGTGTAATAGCTACAAGAAATGGCAAAGAATTCATATTGTCTGTTCATGATATTTTAGTTGGCGATATACTACATTTAGAGCCTGGAGATATAGTAGCTGCTGATGGTATACTGGTATTAGGTCATAATCTTCAATGTGATGAGTCTGCTGCAACAGGTGAAAGTGATGCTGTAAAAAAAATTAAATATGAAGATATAAGGAATATCAGTGAACAATTATCATCTGAATCAACAAGCAAACAGCCTCATCAAAATATAGCTCACATAAAAGCTGATCCTTTTATAATCAGTGGGAGCAAGGTTATAGAGGGTGTAGGGTCTTATGTTGTCACTTGTGTTGGTACGAATTCTTACCATGGTCGTACAATCATGTCCCTTAGATCAGAACCAGAAGATACCCCACTTCAAATCAAGTTAAATGATCTTGCTGAAAAAATCGCAAAACTTGGTGGTGCTTCTGCGTTACTTATGCTCATGGTTTTATTAATGGAATATTTTGTTAAATTTCGTAATGGAGTTCCTGGCTCTGCTTGTGAAATTTTAGAAACTTTAATTAGAATCTTTATATCTACTGTGATTGTGGTAGTGGTTGCCATACCAGAAGGTTTACCATTAGCCGCAACTTTAGGTAAATAATTATTAATAATTACAAAATTTTATTTATTTTATTATAATTATTTTATTATTTAACAATTAATTAATAATAGCACTTGCTTATGCAACAACACACATGCTTAAGGATAATAATCTTGTTCGTGTTTTAGCTGCTTGTGAAACAATGGGCAATGCTACCATTATATGCTCAAATAAAACTGGAACATTAACTCAAAACAAAATGACTGTAGTTGCTGGAACAATTGGTTTATCAAAGTCTTTTGTAAGGAATGTTGAAGCTAATGCTGTCATACTTGGAAATGACCCTTCTCAAAACAATCTACCAATGATACTACAAAATCCCATTCCTTTAAAAAGTTTGGTAAAAGAATTACCCACTGAATCACTTAAATTATTAGAAGAATCAATAGCTATAAATTCGACAGCATTTGAAGGTGAAACGTTGGGGGATGGTAAAATAAATTTTGTTGGTTCGAAAATTGATGCTGCTTTATTGAGTTTTCTTTATGATTTAAATCTGGAAAACTATAAATCATTAAGAGAGTCTTCTAAAATTCAACAGATTTACCCATTTGGTTCTGAGCGTAAAGCAATGGGGGTATAGTAGTAAAATTAAATGATAATAAATTTAGATTCTTAATAAAAGGTGCCAGTGAAGTTTTGCTTAAAAACGCAACAAAAACAATTAAACTAACCAATAAATTAGCATTTGATAGTGATGCTTATGTGGTTGATTTAGTATATGGGGATAATGAAATGCTTCATAAAATAATAGATCATTATGCCACCCAAAGTTTAACAACTATTGCTCTAGCTTATCGTGATTTTGATGAATGGCCACCAAAAAACATGGCTGCTGATGATGGGTGTGAAGTTAAATTTGAAAATTTGACAGAAAATATAACATTGATAGGCATAATGGGCATTGAGGATCCATTAAGATCTGGTGCAAGAGAAGCTGTCTTGGATTGTAAAAAGGCAGGTGTGAGAGTTTGTATGGTGACTGGTGACAATCTTCTAACAGCAAAATCTATTGCATCTCAATGTGGTATATATATTGATGGCAAAGTTATGGAGGGCCCAATGTTTCGTAATCTTTCATCTGAAGAAATGCACAATGTTGTACCAAAATTACAGATTCTTGCAAGGTCTAGTCCTGAAGATAAAAAAGTTTTGGTTGATTTTTTAAGAGAAACGGGTGAAGTTGTTGCTGTTACTGGTGGTGGTGTAAATGACGGGCCTGCTCTTAAAACAGCCAATGTTGGTTTCTCAATGGGTATTGCTGGTACTGAGGTAGCAAAGGAAGCATCTTCAATTATTTTAATGGATGATAAATTTGCAAGTATAGTTAAAGCCATTATGTGGGGAAGATGTGTAAATGATTCTGTGAAAAAGTTTTTACAATTTCAATTAACAGTCAATGTCACAGCAGTAGTCTTGATGTTTATATCTGCTGTGTCAAGCAGTGATCAAAAGTCTGTTCTTACTGCTGTACAACTATTATGGGTTAATCTTATCATGGATACTCTTGCCACATTTGCACTTGCTACTGATTCACCAATACCTGAACTATTAAATCGTAACCCTGAACCCAAAACTGCATCTCTTATAACTTTTGATGCGTGGAAAATGATACTCAGTCAAAGTCTTTTTCAATTGGTGATAACATTGGTTTTACTCTATGCTGGTGATGGTATCTTAAATTATGATTCACTTGATGATAGAGAAATAGCTAAATTGAGATTGGGAACTGTTATATTTAATACTTTTGTTTTCTTACAAGTTTTTAATGGAATCAAGTAAGTAAAAAAAATTTTCTTAAAAAAAAAAAAAATAATAATTACATTATTAATGGTTTTTGCCTTTCCATTCCTTTTGTAGTTGTCATTGTTTAAATTATAAATTGAATATATTCAAAAATGCAACAGCAAATAAAATTTTAATGATCATATTTTTTGTGATGGTTGCTGGACAAATACTTGTAATTGAATTTGGTAGTGTAGCATTTCACACTACCCATCTTAACATATTCGAGTGGTTATTGTGTGTAATAGCTGGATTTGTGTCAATACCATTTGGAATTATAATTCAATTAATACCTAATGAATTTTTCATATGTTATACCAAATCTGACAACACAATGTCAGATACATCAATCAATAGGGATTCACCACCATATTCAGTTATGATACCAGAACAGAAATGTTACAAAGCAATTCTTAAAGCACAAAATCAATTGGGAGTTTTTAAGATATTTCGTGGTGGCAGATTTGGAGCTTTTGAAACAAGATCAAATACTTTTACAGCAGCTGCAATGGTTCCAACCTTGACATCTGCATCAGTTGGAGCAGGATTGGTACCAACACAATATATTGATGGGAATAATCCAAGTGCCACTCAATTAGATTTATCTACTATCAAATCAATATCAAGGAATCAAATTTTTCAAGGTGGATCGCCTAATAGTAATAATAGTGCATTTCGATAACATAAAAGAAATTCATAAAGTTGTATGATTTTATTTATTTATTTTTTTTTTTAAAAACAAAAAAAAAAAAAAAGGAAATAGAAATAGGCAAAGTATATAGAATAGTTTTTGGTTGACATTCGAAATTATAACATTACACAATCTACACAATCTTTATTTATATATATATATATATGGAAAATAATTTAACTGTAAATATTTTAACTTATAATTATAAATAAATTAAACAATTTATTTTTTTAAACATGTCTTGCAATCCTAATCAAGGTCCTTGCTCAGTTACTGGTTGTGAAAATTCAGGCCCTTACAGAAACTTTAATAAAACTGTTTATACAAATCAATTGATTCTGGAACCTTTTCTAATTTTGATTATTTGATAGTTGATGGATCACAATTATGTTCTCTTATTATTTGCAAGCATGTGAGCCTACTAATGGGAAAAAATACATTCCTTTTGAAAACCAAAATATCAATGAACAAAATAATATTTTTACCATTAATTCGCAGATTGTTTGTCAACCAATATAAAATTTCGGGGCACATTTACTATATAATTAAAAGAAATGATTTACATGTTTGTATGTTATCTTAGCTCTGTCGATCTTATATAAAAAATTCCCTGATTGATAAGATTGATAAATTAAGAATTTATTAGACAAAAACACTATTTCGAATGATATTTATATTTATATTACTGATGAATATAACAATGCAAAAATAAATTGAACAACAGAATGAAATAATATTAATTGAAGAAGATAATTGTATCCAAAATATAAAATTTATCAACTTCAAGAAAACTCATTACTATTGCTATTTAGAATCTAAGAATTAAAGGCCCGCTACAATTTAGAATTCATCCTCAATAATTTCCATAAGTTAATTGGTTTATAGCAGTGATTGAGTAACAATATCAAATTGGACCAGTTTGGATTCTTGATCAGTTTTCCGATTTTCTTTTCGTGCAACTTTCACAAATCATTTCCGATTTATTTATTAATTTTCCGTGATTCATAAGTTACTATATATTATTATTATTTACACCATCCTTCCTTACATTTCTTATTAAAAAAAAAAAACAAAAACTCTAACATATTTTCAATTAATTCTTTTATAAAAATGGGAGAAGATAATGATGAAATATCAGAAAATAATACTGAAAATCCAATTACTATTGAACAACAAACTATAATTAATCCACATAATGGATGTCCCATTGATGAAATAAAGTGTAGTCCTGATCATAAGTTTTTAATAACTCTTAGTAAACAAAATAGATCTCTTGGATCTATTGCTGTATGGACTGTTGACAAAGGAGCAATCCTACAAGATAACAAAGATTATTCTTTTCTTATTTCTTGTCATTCTTATATAGAAAAGGTACACATAATGGATGTTTCTAATAAATATATGCTTATATGTGATGGTTTTCAACGTAGTAGTAAGTAAATATGACTATTTATTATGTGTATTATATTATAGACAATAAACAGTAATAAAAATTTGCATCATTTAAAAACTAATTCTATAGGGTTACTTGATCTTTCAAAAAAGGTCATATCTTTTTATCCAATTATTGGTAAATGTGGGGGGTTCATTACAGATAATGGTTTTATAATAATAGGATGGGATTATTTATACCGTTATTCATATAATGAAAATAGTGAATTGGTTCATAAATCAAAATATCACATTTACAGTTATGATTATTATAGAAAATATATAGGTTATTTTATAAATTCTAATTATCTTCTATTAAGTGATAAGTTTTCATTATTATCACGATGGAAATTGAAACCAACAACTATATCATATCAAGATAGTTGTTATTTAATATGTAAAAAAAATCATACTGATATAATATTTAATCAAGGCAAAACAATGATGACATTATATTATAAAACTACTTCAAAAATAATAGTTTATTCAATAAAACATAATATTATTATTTCTTCATGTAAGTATTGTTTGTTTGTTTGTTTGTTTTTGTTTATTTATTTATTTTATCTGTTTATTTATTTATACACCATATTTATTTATTTACTTTTTATCTTACAGTTGAATTGGAAAAAAATATCATTGTTAAAAAATTAGATTTTATGGTTATCAAAAGTCAACTAGAATGTTTATTATTAATATTGTATAATATAAATACAAATAATTACATTTGTAAATTAATGGATCCTTATAATTTAGATAACTCTGTAGATATTACTGAATATTTTAATGTATATGTTATAGGAAATACATACGAAGATAAAAATAATATCATATTTGGACCAACCATATCAGATAATAAAATAGTTATGGCTATCAAAAATCAAATTTACATTAAAGAAATTAACAAAGAAAAATTAGACACTGTTCAACAAATATGTATAAAAAATAGGTATTTATATATAGGACAAACATTAAGTGAAATATATGAAAAACTTAATGACAAGGATTATGAAACACCAAAAGAATTTGATATTGAACCAGGCAAAACTATTAAATGGTCAGTAGAGTATGGAAAAGATTTTCAAAATATTAATATAAAAGCTCAAAAAATTGATAATGAAATAGAAGAGGAATTTCTAACAATTGATGAATATGCTTTTAAGAATTTCGAAAAATTTAAATACTGTAAATTACTGAATAATGATGATTTAATTTTAATAACAACCTATTATATATGCATTTTGTCATTTAATAATCAAAGTTCTAAAATAACTACAAAGTATATTGTTAAAGAAAGATATCATTGTAGTTACAAAAGAGGACACAGGACTGGCAATGGAAAAGAAATATTAAAAAAAATCAAAACAGCTATAGACAATAATAATATTGAAGACTATTTATTTAATTTTGATAATGTTACTAAAGATGATTGTTCATATATTGATAGACATCAAATTTCCAGACAACCTTATAAAGAAATGATTTTATATATGTTGGATGATTTATATAATTTCAGACATGGAGAAAATTTTTTAGGATTAGCATTAAATGTAAATGATAGCATATTTGTAGAAGAATTATTTGATTCCTGTCTTAAATATTTTAAAAAAGATACTGTGTCAAATATTAGTTTATTAAAAATAATTATATCAGAATTACCAAGATTACAAAAAAATCATCAAAAATTGTCAAAATTCTTTAATCAAACTTCAATGATATTATTTCCATTTAATGATAACATTTTTAGTGAAGTAATTGTTTATAATGCAATGGTCAATGAAAATTTTATTTATAAAAAGAAAAGCTTTTGGTATTTTTTTTTAAAGTTTGAAAGGCTTAGAATAGACAAAAAAGGAATATTTGGAATATTTGAAAAATTTAGAAGGTTTTTATACAAAAATTTCAATAAAGATAATGCTAAACCTTGTGTAAAATTGATAATTCCATATCCTGGATTACTTACATACAAACCATACAAAACCAAATGTTCATTATTGGAAGAATTATTATATAAGCCAGATAATAGTATATTTGTTGAATTAGTTGTATTGGATACTTTAGAATTATACAAGCATTTGAATATTGAACTAATTTTGGATCATAAATGGAACACTTTTGGATTTGGATATTATATTGGAATATTGATTTTTTATATAGTATTTTTATTAAGCTTTGTTATTGCAACTTCCACTTCACAAGATCAGTTATCTGATGATAATAGAAATTCATTATTAACAACAACAATTGTCCTTGGGGCAATTCATCTCACAGTAGAAGTTAGACAATTTATCTGGAAACCATTGAAATATATCACAGATTTCTGGAATTACTTTGGTGTGATGTTACTTTATTATTATCATTTTTATTGTTAATAATTAATTAATTATTAATAATAATATTATATTAATTATTAATAGATCTAGGTGCCTATTCCTTAGCAATTATTACTTCAATTCTATGGTTATATTATAATATTTCACCACCTGTTCAACTGATTTCTGCATCAAATTTATTATTGGATTTAAGATTAATGTTATTTTTAAGGGTTTTTAAACATTTTGGAGCATATTTTGCCATTATTATAGAAGTTGCTAAAAGAGTCTTTTGGTTCTTAATTATAATAATGATAATCATTTTAAGCTTTTCACATGCATTTTTTTTATTATTGAAACCAAGACAAAATTTTGCATTAGACAACCCTGATTTCAATGATGATACCAACAATCCTTGGAACCTTGTTAATAAATATTATACATATTTTGCAAACAACAATTCATATAGTCAAGATCCATTTTTTGTTCAGCTACCTAATGACAATACAAATATGTTTGCACAATTTTCTTCTTCAATTCTGGCAATGTATAATTTCCTTGCAGGTAATTATATATTTCATTAAATAATAATTAGGTTAAATAATTAATTTGATTGATTTTTTTATTAGGAGATAATGGAGCATTTGGAGCTTGGGTGTTACAAGATGATTCATATCTTACAGTATTAGTAGTTGCATTTTCATTCATAGTTGTGGTATACCTAATGAACTTATTCATTGGTTTGCTTAGCAATGAAATTGAACATTATAATACAAATGAAGCATTCTTGGCTCAAAGAGCAAAAATTATCACAGAGATTGAATTATTTTATTTATTTCCTAATCAACGTCGTTGGAGAAACTGGTTTCCAGATACATTGTAAATATAATAATAATCATTTAATCAATTAAATCATTTTGATAAATTCCTTTTAAAAATTTTTTTTTTGTTAGATACTATGATGCACCAATTGGTGATATTTGTAAAAAAATTAAAGAAATAGATGATAGCAATGAGAATGAAGAAGATCTCCCATATATTTCTGATAGGCTTAGAGAACTTGCCGAAGTGACTAAAAAAACAGAAAATAATTTTGATTCAAAATTTCAACAAATTGAAGACAAATTTGTTGAAGTGACTAAAAAAACAGAAAATGATTTTGATTCAAGATTTCAACAAATTGAAAACAAATTTGTTGAAGTATCTGAAAAAACAGAAAATAATTTTGATTCAAGATTTCAACAAATTGAAGACAAACTTGTTGAAGTGTCTAAAAAAACAGAAAATGATATTGATTCAAGGTTTCAACAAATTGAAAATATTCTTGAAAACAATATGAAGGAAATGGAAAAAAATCTTAAAGATGGCCTCAAGGAAATGGAAAATAAATTTAATAATAATAATGATCAATTGTTGACTCAAATACAAATTTTGTTGAATGAAATTAAGAATTCAAAAAATAATTATTAAATTTATTTATTTATTTTTTTTGGAAAAACCATTGTATTTGTTATTTTTGAAAATTCAAAAGTTAGAAAATGTGATAATATTAATACATATTTTGTGATAATGTTACCAGAATCAAATGACAACGAGGATATTTTAGCTGAATCTTTTAATTTCGGGCCAAGTTAAATTTTATTTATATTTATATTTTTATTATTATTATTTTATTTAATCAATTTTTATTTTCATAATTTTATTTTTATTATGGTTGGCTCGGTCTAAAGACCTCATATTGCTGCGCCATGCACTCAAATTTCAATAAATTGCGATTTCGTGATTCGTTCATAAAATTTAAAAAAGGGCTTCACGTGATTTTGATTAAAAAGTTATTTCTTACTGCCAAATTTAGATATGATGGTCGAAATTAGTCTAAATTTCGTAATGATGATCAAAAACTAGTCTAAATTTAGCAATGATCCTAGCGTTCAATGAACATAGTAAAGTACATGTTTTAAAAGAATAGAACTCTACAACAAAGATTTTTTTTTGAAAATCTCTTTATTATATTAAAACTAAATACATATTCTATCAACTAATTGAGCTATTTTTTTAAAAGATAGGACAGAAAATGACTTATATACTTTTAAAATTTGCCCAAAGTTTAGGAGGTTTTTAGGCCAAGCTAACAATATTTATATTTATATTTTCTATTTATTATTAATAACGTGTATAATTATTTATTATCTTTTGAATTCGTGTTACGTTCCGCATATTTAATTAATCTGTAGCATATTCATATTTATTTAACTTTATTTAGCAGAGATTAATGACGATTCTGTCCGTTCTGGGCGAAATCGCCAAAGTACAAAGTGGGCAAAAGCACCCAATCTGGGCGGAATTGCCCAAACCGAGCGGAATTGCCCAATTCGGGCTAATATGTAATGAATATGTGTATGAAGAACTCAATTTCGACCTAATGTAAAAGTAACTTGTTAATAAGTTAATTAGTTTCAACTAAATAAAACTAAATAAATAAAATAGAAATATTTTATTTAAACTTTTTATCTTCTTTAACCAAAATTATTCACAAATCCAAATCAATTCATTGATCCCCTATTCATTCTGATCCACACAAAAATAAAAATAATTGTTATCACCAATTAAAAATATGCTCTCCCAAATTTAATTGGTGACAACTTGGTGCGAGTTGTGTGGAAACTTACGCCAAAGAAGATATAAAAATCAGAAATCTTAATTGAATCTATGGATTCCTTCAAATTCTTTTTACATTTTATTATTCTTTTTAGTACTTTATTTTTATTTTTATTTTTATTTTTTATTATTTTATTGCCTTGCGAGATAGCTTTTATTTTTTTTCATTCTATTACCTTTTCAGATCCTTACGAGGATTGATTGAATGAATATAGATCAAGACACAATACAACTTATACAAGAGAATACAGAGATCCATAATCAAAACCATCAATGGTACCTAATCATAAGGAATATATCGCAAGTACATAGTGACACATCTTGTGCAATTTGTCATCACATTAATTGAAACTTTTCTGCTCAATTTTTAATCTTTTGGGATTGGATAAGAGAAACACACCAAGCAACAGACTGCACCTCATAGACTATTAATACCTTTGAGCAGCTATTAGAAGAGGAAGCCTTTGGACAGTTATAACAACTTGCTTTAACACTATTAGTTAGTATAAGATACAGGGAATACCTGGGAAATATATTACACTTTATCATTAACATGTCTGATGATTTTGTAATTTTTAACATAAATTAAAATTTATCAAGTATTTATTTTGTTTTGGCTTTGAATTGATTAATAATCAAAGTAATATAAAATACAATCAATAGATAGATCAATTTTATTTTCAACTACCAATCAATTAATTTAACTAATTGAAAATAAGAATTTTATTAGACAGTTTAGATTATATATGTGACCAAAACTCTCAATGGCCAAATCTGAAAGTCCTGAAGAGTATATTAACATACTAATACAGGTTCCGTATTCCGTAGCATAGTAGAAATTCTATTTTGATCGACATTTGCAATTATCACATTTCCATTTCAGTATATGATTTTCGTGTTACA